TTATTCGCAAATGGAAGAAACACAAAAGAACTGTCAATCTCCCTCGGCCTGGGGCTCCATGCAAGATATCACCTCGTGGAGTTGCAATGATCATGAGAACGGTGAGGAATCAGCCCAGAACTACAAGGGAGGATCTTATCAATGATCTCAAAGCAGCTGGGATCATAGTCACCAAGAAAACAATTGGTAACACGCTACACCGTGAAGGACTGGAATCCTGCAGTGCCTGCAAGGTCCCCCTGCTCAAGAAAGCACATATACATTCCCGTCTGAAGTTATCCAATGAACATCTGAATGATTCAGAGGACAACTGGGTGAAGGTGTTGTGGTCAGATGAGACCAAAATGGAGCTCTTTGACATCAACTCAACTCGCCGTGTTTGGAGGAGGAGGAATGCTGCATATGACCCCAAGAACACCATCCCCACCGTCAAACATGGAGGTGGAAACATTATGCTTTGGGGGTGTTTTTCTGCTAAGGGGACAGGACAACTTCACCGCATCAAAGGGACGATGGACGGGGCCATGTACCGTCAAATGTTGGGTGAGAACCTCCTTCCCTCAGCCAGGGCATTGAAAATGGGTAGTGGATGGGTATTCCAGCATGACAATGACCCAAAACACACGGCCAAGGCAACAAAGGAGTGGCTCAAGAAGAAGCACATTAAGGTCCTGGAGTGGCCTAGCCAGTCTCCAGACCTTAATCCCATAGAAAATCTGTGGAGGGAGCTGAAGGTTCGAGTTGCCAAACGTCAGCCTCGAAACCTTAATGACTTGGAGAAGATCTGCAAAGAGGAGTGGGACAAAATCCCTCCTGAGATGTGTGCAAACCTGGTGGCCAACTACAAGAAACGTCTGACCTCTGTGATTGCCAACAAGGGTTTTGCCACCAAGTACTAAGTCATGTTTTGCAGAGGGGTCAAATACTTATTTCCCTCATTAAAATGCAAATCAATTTATAAAATTTTTGACATGCGTTTTTCTGGATTTTGTTGTTGTTATTCTGTCTCTCACTGTTCAAATAAACCTACCATTAAAATTATAAACTGATCATTTCTTTGTCAGTTGGCAAACGTTCAAAATCAGCAGGGGATCAAATACTTTTTTCCCTCACTGTAGTAGTAGTCCCTCAATAAAATGGCACATTAACACTGAACTATGGATACACAGGTATAGATCAAAGTTACAAATCACATTTGCAATTGTGACTGCTGTATCCAGCACTCATCTTTTGTTTCAGGATATTTTGAAGGAATGATTTACGATGTCAAGGGAGGAAACAAGGTTGTTCCAAAACATTGGTGCTGCAACGGCAAAGGCATAGCCACTTATTAAAATGCTTATTCTCGGGATATTCAAAAGGCAATTATAATGGACGCCTGATGTTTCTTGGGCTTGACAATGAGGATAATGAATTAGCTAAGTTTCGCGCAGATTTGTCAATAAGGGTTTTATGGGTGGTACCTTGATAAGGTAAGAGATATCTATAAATAAAAGAAGCATTCCGGCAGATCTTATCCTATTTTAATGTATATATTGACCAAGGCGCTGAACAAAGAATTCACAATTTTAACAGCAAAAGTGTGATGAGACGAGTTGATGAGAAGGATGTTAGTGACATGATGAATATGATTATGGGTGAAATAAACGATGACGAGGGAACAATGAGTGGTTAAAGATGAGTGAGTGTGATTAATGGGGAGCGAAGTTGGGAAGAGGAATGGTGATGGAGTTAATGACGGGAAAGGGATGGGGAAGTGGAGTTGGCGTAAGCAAGGGAAAACAAGTGAATTTTAAGGGAAGATCGAAAAATGGACAGTGGAGCTGATTGTTCGACGTGTAGGGGCAGTTTGTTCCAGTGTAAGAGGGCCTGAAGCGAGAAAAAAATGGAATCGTGATTGGGCACGAGGAGGAGGGGGAACAGAGACAGCGACAGCTGGGATTGTGAATTGGAGAGGGCTAAAAGGAGCGTAGAGCGAGATGATGAACGCGAGATTCTGCGTAGCCAACCACGCTATTCGTAGGTGCAGAGGAAGGACAATAATCTAAACACAAAAGTAGTTATAAAGAAATGGGCTTACAATTATAATTTAAAAGTGCATAGCGCCAATAGCTTCCTAATATTGGAAGGAAAAGTGTTCCAGATGGCAGCAGAAGTCCATCTGAAAGCGCTATGGTTAGCTAAAAACTGCTCATTGTTTTTTTCGGTAAAGTCACGTATGTAGAAATAGCGTAAAATTATATTGAAGTAAATAAATAAATAACTTTCCTTTTTATATTATTTTATGGTATTTCTACATACGTGACTTTACCGAAAAAAACAATGAGTAATTTATGCAGTCACGAAAGCTTTAATTCTTTATTAGCTAAAAACTGCTCCGAGGAGGACCGTTTTATGATTTACATCCTTAGATTCCAATCTACCTTGGTCAAAGAAGCATCTTGTCAAGATTGCATCGCTGTAAGCTCTAATTTTGGAAAGAACAAGAGAGTGAGCTTGATTCTACCTTGAAACTGTAATGTGGTAATAGCAACAATTGTACAATGTTGCTCTCACACCTGTATCTGGGTAAACCTTATTTAACTTTCTACATAACAGCAATTAAATGTTTAAGTCACTTAAAAGTATCTCACTCCTAAAACAATCAGTGCTAATCTTCATTTTCAGTCTAAACCAGTAGTGGACATTCCACATTCCTATGATGGGAGTTTTAAGTAAAAATATCTCAAAAGAGGGATTTCCTTGCTCTGTAAGCGATTCGAATGGAATTTGTATCTTGTGACATGATGCTGATAGCGCAATCAAGATAGCACAATCAAACTAAAACTCGAAGAGTTGTGTTTTACTCCCACAGGGCAAACACTTATTGATGGAATCGGTCAAATATCTCAATGCAGGACCCACCTAAAAACTATTGAGACACGGTGAGCCTTTTTGGCATAAATGAAGATAATTATAAAAACTGCAAAACCTTCACGGGATTATGAGTTGAAATGGTTTTGTCAGACGCAAAAACTGCATTTCACACTGCCAAACAACACAGTACCTGCATAAAAGGCACAGCAGATTTTAGGATGCAACACGCTCATTCATGTAATTAGGATAGGTTCAGAGATCTCCAAAGCAATTGTAGCTGAGGCTGTAATCAGAGAAGTGGATCAAAGCGTCTCTCAGCCATCATCCCACAGCCTGCAGCCATGTGCTCATGTTTTGCATGATGTATCATGCCCCATCATTCAGTTGAATCATCCCTTCTCACAGCATCATAATGATTTCAACTGCACATCTAGCACACATGCCAACAGAGATGCCTATTCAGGCAGACATTTAGTTTTTAATGTACCCTTCTTTATATTTTTCTTTTAACTGTAGAGCTAGCTTATGCAATCCAGGAACAAAGGATAACATATGTTGTATTAAACAGTGAAACGTAGAAGGAATTTCAGCAGCTTATTAGACCAACATAACATCACCATTCTTGTGCACATTTTGCACATGGCAATATGATGGCCAACAGCTCTAAAGTGGTCCACATGGAGCAAAACATCAGACATTAAGCAGGGTCTCATGATTTATAGATTTGTATATATATGGAATACTCTTTTCAATAACATAAAATAATCTAGCGAACATTTGATTAACAAGCCTGACTCTGCCGATGAGACCCAACATTTTGAAACTGGCCCAGCTGCATGACAATATATGCCTCGAAATCCAAGAGGCTGTTAGTCCAAACAATATTTGCATTAATCTGTGGAGATAGGAAAAGGTTCTGCTTAAACAGTATATGCTGCTAAATATGTTAATTTTACTGTGCACGAGCAAACAAACAAAGACATATGGAGGCACAGATGCAAAAGCTCAAACCTGCTTGGCTATATGCGCTTATTTGTTTTACCACAATTAGGAACGCCTCCCCCTGCAACAACCTTAAGCCGTACCAGAAGAGGGAGAGAGACGTTGTAACAGGAGCTGCTAATGCCTCACGGTTGGGCCTTCTGTTTGTTTTGAGCTTGTCAGAGAGCTTTCCGCCTGCCTGTTTGTTTGTTTGTCCCACAGATTAGCAGAAAGCATAGCTTCTGATTGTCTTTGGCTAATCCCAATGGATCAAGTCTTCCAATTCCATCATCGCAGGTGACACGGAGAGCCTTGCTATCTGATGACAGCAACACAAAAAAAAAACAAATCTTATACCGTGGAGGGTTAGGCAAAAGACTAAGCGTTCTCGGGGAATCCCCAATTGCTTGTGATGAAGCACGTCTCTCCATCCCGTCTCAGGCTGCCTTGAGTCACGAGGGCTGTGCTACCCTGAGAGGTCGAGTTAGGCCACGAGGCTGCGGGGCAGTCCTCAGACCTACATCAAGTTAAGTTCCCAGAAAATGTGTCGCAAGTCGAAACGACATAAGTCGGGACCGATTTTCCGAGATAAATAATGATACAGTAGGGAGTTACATTCCTGACCAAGGGTCCGATATGCAACTTTTTATAAATATGAATACAAGTGGAATGTTTAATCAACTAGAAATCATTTCTAAATTGCAATAGTAGTGTTTAGAAAGTTATTACCTTGATTCTTCGTAATTCCTGGATTATTTGGGCTGAAAGTAGAAATTACATTTCTGCTTCGATTCTTTTCAATACCATCACTGGAGCACCGACTTTTCCTTTCATCAGCCATTTATGAGGATGAAGTAAATAAAAAACAATCTTAAAAATCACGAAAAAATGCACCGGAGTGCCGCATCTGGAGGCAGACTGACTGGGCGACATAGCATGCCTTAGTTTGTTTGTGGGCAGAAACGGCGCCTGAGTCTGGCGTCATGCTGTAGGTGTGGGTCTGGCGTCGTGCTGTAGGTGTGGATCTGGTGTCGTGCTGTAGGTGTGGGTCTGGTGTCATGCTGTAGGTGTGGGTCTGGCGTCGTGCTGTAGGTGTGGGTCTGGCGCCGTGCTGTAGGTGTGGGTCTGGTGTCATGCTGTAGGTGTGGGTCTGGTGTCGTGCTTTAGGTGTGGGTCTGGCGTCGTGCTGTAGGTGTGGGTCTGGTGTCGTGCTTTAGGTGTGGGTCTGGCGTCATGCTGTAGGTGTGGGTCTGGCGTCGTGCTGTAGGTGTGGGTCTGGTGTCGTGCCGTAGGTGTGGGTCTGGTGTCGTGCTGTAGGTGTGGGTCTGGTGTCGTGCTTTAGGTGTGGGTCTGGCGTCATGCCGTAGGTGTGGGTCTGGCGTCATGCCGTAGGTGTGGGTCTGGTGTCGTGCTGTAGGTGTGGGTCTGTCGTCGTGCTGTAGGTGTGGGTCTGGTGTCGTGCTATAGGTGTCGGACTGGTGTCGTGCTGTAGGTGTGGGTCTGGCATCTTGCCCGTAGGTGTGGCACTGGCGTCGTGCCGTAGGTGTGGGTCTGGCGTCGTGCTGTAGGTGTGGGTCTGGCGTCGTGCTGTAGGTGTGGGTCTGGTGTCGTGCCGTAGGTGTGGGTCTGGTGTCATGCTGTAGGTGTGGGTCTGGCGTCGTGCTGTAGGTGTGGGTCTGGTGTCGTGCTGTAGGTGTGGGTCTGGCATCTTGCCCGTAGGTGTGGCACTGGCGTCGTGCCGTAGGTGTGGGTCTGTCGTCGTGCTGTAGGTGTGGGTCTGGTGTCGTGCCGTAGGTGTGCGTCTGGTGTCGTGCTATAGGTGTCGGACTGGTGTCGTGCTGTAGGTGTGGGTCTGGCATCTTGCCCGTAGGTGTGGCACTGGCGTCGTGCCTTAGGTCTGGGTCTGGCGTCATACCGGAGGTGTGAGTCTGGTGCCCTCCCAAAAGTGGGGCATCGACGTAAGTCGAACCAACTTAAGTTGAGGACAGCTCGTGAATTCCTGTGTATTAAAAATTGTTTGCGAAAATTGTTGCTGGTGTATCTGCAAATCATGAAATCTATATTGCAAAAAGTGTGGTTAGGGATACACACTAACGTATTTTCATTGACAAGATGGAATCGTTTTTTGTTCGCAATGTATTTTAATTATTGTTCTGTTTCATGGCAGGTGTGGGGGTGTGCGTACACAGGAATTTCCTGGTATGATGTTGAGTTTGGTCACGTGACCAGAAAGTGACGATTTAAGATTATCTAAGCCATGAGGCAGGGTATCAGCCATGACACAGAGTACAAAATGGAGGCACACATAGCGTCCCAGTGAAGACAGGTGCATCTGTTCATTGTGGGACTTTAAGAAGCATTGTCTGTAAGTTCGTTTATGTTCTTATAATACTTAGAATTCTGTGATAATGTTAGAATGGCCGTTATTATGCTGTTAATGCCTTTATAATACTGTTACATTTTTTATGTTAAATATGATGCCTAGTTAACAACGTAGCCTGCCACTTGCCTTATTGTGAATGTTACTTGTAATTGAATAAGTCGAGTCAGACTTGTACCCATGTAACCTTATTGCGATCTTGAGAGCAAGGACGACGAAATATCTCACCCACAGTTTTATTGTTTTATATTTTTATTATTTTATTGTTTCCCTTCTACATGACTTTACCGAAAGAACCAAGAATATCTCACCCACAGTTCAGTGTTATGTGCAGCGCTGTACATTTAGGCTGCAGTATGGTGATTACACGATGTGCCCTTATTTAACACAATAGCTTATTCTCTTGTATAGCTATTCAGTACTAGTGTAGGTGCCTGGTCCATCCAGGATCTATTGTTGAGTTTCATGTTATCTAAGACAATGTTATGATGCTGTAGTGTTCATTCATTGTATTGATATTTCCAAGTATTAACAGATGCTGTATTTGTGCTGTGTTTTTCCATCAGTTTTACCTCGTTCAATTCATTAAATACGTTTGGAGTCGGATGTTCACCCTGGCTCTGAAGGTTTATTGAACCAGAGGTTATCTACTCGGATAGTGGTGCAACGCAGCGCACAGCGAGGCCGAGACAATTATCATTGCATTTCCCCTCATAACATTTGTTAGTGTTGACTTCGATTGATGTTTGTAGGTTCACCTTTTTTTATTTTTTTAGCGACTTGCTTAGCTTTTTTTTACACCTTTCACTCCAATCGGTTTTTGTATTGTTTGTTGTTGTAACTTTCTGACCTGCCCCTACTGGACATCTGTGAAAAAGAGCTTCATAGCTCATCGGATTCTTGCAGTCTAAATAAATATTCTGAGTCCGATTCAGCGTGATCCTTTGTTTTGGTGAAAGCAACCATAGCTGGTGTATCAGTCTTGTATGTATGTTGAACTTCTTTCACACAGTACATAGTCAATCGTGCCAAGCGGAGGTACGGAGGAAGGACAAGAAACTAAACGCAAAAAGAAATGAGTTTTTAAATCAATATTTTTAATTGCATAGCTCTAGTGTCTTCCTAATAACGGAAGGAAGAGTGTTCCAGACGGCCGCAGTAACCGCAGTGACCACAGTGACCGTCATTGTTCGATGGTATGCCAAAAGCCGCTGCGGGGATGCCCAAAGTCGCGTGATGGTTCATGGTCCTTGACGAGATCAGCAAGGTATTGTGGTTCATTTGTGGCAAGCACTCTGTGTGTGTAATGAGTCTTGGGCAATACACCTCGATATTTATCAATGCGGTTTTTAAACATAGGCACATATTGGCTCAGCTGGCCAAGCAGCGGTTGCGCGCACGGAGCGGCCAAACAAGCGACCGCTCTTCCTGCGCCTTGACTTCACTTGAAAATTGTATCAGAAAGAGGAGCAAGTGGATCCTCCTTGTAACAAATGCTTATTTCGCGCAGTCAAAAAACATGCCGGCACTCAGCGGCGATTGTTGTGATGATTTTTTTCCAATTATAAGTTTAACACACACGAGTTAAAGTCACGTAGAAGGGAAACAATAAAATAATAAAAAATATACATATTTTATTGTTTCCCTTCTACGTGACTTTACCGAAAGAACCAAGAATATGAATCCCTGCAGTCACGAAAGCTTTAAATCAAAATTTTACACACGAGGTACTTGCACGATAACAAAACGCCTCTCCAAATGTGCTTGGCGCAGATCCGAGGCGACGTCACAAAAGCACAGATGGCCGTTGCTCCCAAGGTGCCCAGATGATAATGCAATGCACACGTTGCATTGCTTGCATTAATTACAGGATCATTGTGGGATTGTGCCCTGCGATGATCATATAATGAGATTTGTTTTTAAATCGCAAAAAACTGAAAGGGGGAGCAAATTAAATTAATTTTGCAAACAGTGGGCTTGACCGAGTCACACATTGTGTCTGCTGTGTTGTGGCTCTGCGCTTGGCCAGAGCCTGTATCTTCAGCAGAAAGGGACATGTTTATTTTCCTCAGTAATACTTAAACAAAAACAAAGTTTTGCCTTGTCATTAATGCAAGCTGACATTTCCTCTCTGGATGCCAGCCTCGTGCACACGATTCTTTGGCGAGCAAACCTACTCACCGCAGCAAATAAGGCAATAATACCTCAAGTCAAAGTGTCTCCCATCTCAAACACGATTATTTACCATAATTTTATCAGACTTGCTTATCCAGGAAAACCTCACTAACTCATGACTTTCTTTCAGGGGGGTCCTGCCAAGTTTTTTGAAGTAGGGGGTGGTGATTGCTGTGCATACCCGCGTTGGGAAATTTTTTGCGGGCCATTTTTCGCATCAGTAAAGTTGGTACCATGACGCCAGCACGTAATGGTCCACTCTCGTGAAGAACGTCATGGGATCTGAAGCAGACGGCACATCTGTTTATGGTTAATAGACCCGTAGTATTAATCAGGGCGACCACTGGATACAAACCGTGAACCTCTGGAACAAGCGGCAAATTCCCTGCAGCCAGGTCGTGGAAGCACTCATCTCTGTCCGTGGCCTTACGTTAAATGTGGAAATTCCACACTCCCTTTGGTGAGGTCAAGTTTTACATATGTTATCGTCCCAAGGGCAACTGACAAGGTGTAATGGTTAGCACAGTGGGCTTGCAATCCAGAGGTCGCTGGTTCAACCCCTTGGCACGGCAGTTTAAACAATGGGGCAAGTTTCTAAAATCCCCACCACCTCTGTCCATGTAGCAGTGTAAATGGGTACACCACAGCGAGTCGATAGCGTGGGCACTCCCACCACTTCGAGGATGTCTGACTACTGTGGAAGAGTAGGCCAAATACCCCTTGAGGGGCTCTCTGGAGCTCCCTTGAGTAGAGGCCCTTCTGTAAGCAGTCATGTGAGGAAGCAATTGGAGGGCTGTACTTTTACCTTTTAGTGTATATTATAAAAATATAACGGTAAATTTTGATTGAAAGCTTTCATGACTGCATGGATTCATCTTCTTGGTTCTTTCGGTAAAATCACGTGACGGTAATTAATTTATTGTAGCGTCTAAACAGTTCATTTATTCAAATAATTGATTTCCAGAGTCGATCCAGCATATTGGAATGAGCGATTAATCAATCATTGCTTTGCAAATATTTACCAGGCAGGTAAAATAAAGATGTTCCACTGGTATTTCGCACTGTGGAGTAACGACGCCAAGCGGTGATCGATCTCAGCGTGTGCTGAGCGTGCCTTGTGTCAAACATTAAATAACTCTTCCAACCACAATAATTCCTCTAGACACTGTGAGCATGTGCAGAACGTGTCCATTCCTTCATTATTTACATTGAAACCCACTAAACAGAGTCCAGAAAAAAGTAGATGAAGGGGAAAACTGTGCAGTTGCATGTGCTTTAATGATTCAAGAATTCCTGATTCGATTTTTTTCCCCCACAAATTACATCCCGTTTTTGTTGCTCCATATGCAGACACAGAGGTCATAATGAACTGTACGGCCATGCGTCTTTTTGGGAATAACCTGGAAGTGACAACTAGAACTTCCATATCATCTTTTTGGTGCGAGCTGACACTAATACTGGACTACCTTTCTGTCACGTGCAGATGAGTGGTTGACTCTAAATTTTCTAATGAGTATTGAGGCACTGCTTATCTTTGCTGGGGGCCACAATAACACGTCCACTTAGCAAGTTTGGCTACGTACTGTGCGAAATAAGTTCAACACACATACAATGAAGCAGTCCAGCAAATGCACATTCCCATAGAAGGGATCAGACTCTGCATAGAATGACCACAGTTATTTTCCCACAAAGTGGTATCTTCGTTGGAAATCCCAGAGGGTTGATGGAATGGTTCGATCGTCGACCTGGGTTTTGAACCAGCGACTTTATGATTTTGAGTCGAATACTAACCACAGCACCGCCTGGATGGGTTCCTCATATCTCTACAAATACATAGCGAGGTTTAGACCTCAGGTTTTGACAAAGCTGAAATAAAGTACAACTTCGCATATCTGACTGTCACATATCCACTCTGACCAATTAACCGCCTGTAGCCAGGGCAGTATTTGTGCATTATTCGCACATAGAAGATTTTCACCTCGAGGAATGTATTTTGTTTTTATCTGGCATAGATTCACCTGACTTATAAAATAGAGTGAAGTATTTCCCCACATTTAAAGCAGTTTGCACTTAATTTTTTTCCCAGTAGCCTATTTTCTACAGATGTTCACATATCTGCCCTTTTCACATATACAGTACTTCAGTCCCCAGTGAGCCGGATATGCGAATGTACTGCATGTACAAAACACAATTATTTAATGATGTTTTTGATACTTTCATTGGTAACAAGACTCATATAAGCAACACACCAAACAGAAGCATGGGATTTGAACATTAGGTCTTTAGATGAGTGATCCCCAGCCACCACTAAAAGCATGAAAATTCCTTAGCCACGACCTCGTTTCGCATTCCCGCAGA